CTTTTCTATAAGCAGTTCAACCTAGAGCCTGGCTCTATGCCACTAGGCCAGGCCCAGGTGCAGTTTTTCTAAAAGGTGATAGTGTGGGTGGCTTCTCATCCTCCCTTGCCTGGTACGTTTCCTGGCTGCTCAAGTATTGTTCCACCTGGATGCAGACAGGCACTGTAACTAACCACCAAAAAAAAGTCACTCTCCTTGGAAACTACCCTTGGTCAAGGTGAAGGGCGACCAGTGCTGCCAGACGCTGCCAGGCAGCTTCAGGCACGCCCTCCGCCTTCTTCCTCCCACACCCTGGGCAGCACAGAGTCTCATTCATGCAGACAGCCTGGCTCCTGGCCATGTGAATGGCACGCTCATTGCCAGGAAAGCTGCCGGATCCTTCCCCAACATAGGAACAGCAGCCTGCAGGTAGCTTGGCTTCTCTCCCAGGCCTTGGGACTGTCTAATTCTGAGGCTGGGGTCCCGATCAGGACCTTCCAAGGGTGGCGACTGGGGGGCCCTGGCCCAGAGGTCGATGCCCTTTGTCCCTCTTAAAAAACGCTGTGGCCGACTGGCGTTGGAGGTCATGGGGTTAGCAGACCTCTTAATGACCCACTGCAGCTGTCAAAGCTACCTGTATCAGAGGGGCTCTGGGAGCCCCGGGACAATGTTGCAGTCTCAGACTCGGGGAGAACCAGACAGAAGTTGATGGGGTGCACAAAGGTGCGAAACCCAGCAGCTCTCACCCTTAACTGAAAGAAGAGGTTGTGAGGGAGGGACATGGTGGTTTTGTCTTGAGCCTCCACTGGGAGAGTCTTTGTCAGAGGTTGCTACCGATACAGTTAAATACAAATGAAAACAGATGAGCGTGGGTGGTTTGGAAGCCTGAATCATAGCTAGGAATGGAGTGCTTCCCTCTCATACAGACTTCCAATGCTCCTAAATCGCAGGAACTCCCACATCAATGCTACTTGGGTTCCAGACACATTTGTCCAGTCGCTGCCTGGACATCCCCACGTCTGGAGACTTAGCTTGCTCAGAGCTGCACTCACTTTGTCCTTAGTCCAGTTGGGTGCCCTCCTCCATCTGCTAGAATTGGTGCAGCCTAAGGCCAGTCAAGATTTAGTCCAAAATGTCTCCCAAGTTCTACAGCTCCCTTCTCTAGGCTCTGGGTTTGAATCCTGCTCTGCCATGTCCTCACTATACAGTCCTGGGTGGGAGACCCTCTTTGTGCCCCTGTTTCCACATCTGCACAGACAGGATAATGACAGCACGCACCTTGTGCAGTGCTTCTGAGGACTGAGTCTGGTAGTTTGGAAGCATCTAGAAGAGGGCCCACCCAGACACTAATCAGCAGTAGCTGTTCTCGCTCAGCGCTCCTCTCCTTGCTGTACTCCTCCAGTGCCTCATTGCTCAGGCATGCAGGTTTGCATGACATTTTTGCTTAAAGGCCAGCTGCCTTGATGACATCAGGTCCTCAGGGAGGTGGTCCACGTGCCCCTCCATGTGTCCACATGCCTTTCCCTTGGGCGGATGGCTCATCATTCTCCAGCCACCCCATGCTTCATGCCCTGTGGCTCCTTTGGCCCGGAGTCCACTTTTCAGTAAAATCTCCTCTCTTGCCGGCAGACCATCCCTCAGGGCACTGAAGGAATTGACCTAGGAGCATCTTCTGAACCAGTGAGTCAAATACCTCATGTGATTTCCACAACCCTTCTGTGAGGCAGACCTTACTTCATTTCACAGGTAGAAAATCACTGAAGCTCAATAATTCACACACTCACAGAGTGAGGGGTGGAGCTGGAATAAAGTCCAGGTGTGGCTGTCCCCCGAGTTCGTGTGGTTCTACTGATGTCACAGAAGATGCTCATCTCATTTAAGAGGAAAATCAGAGCTCTTTGAAAGGGGAAAGACATTAAAAGGACATGGAGACAGTCCCCCCAGAAGAGAATACAAGGTTGGGCTTGGAACATGTCAACTGAGCTAAGCTTGAACATGTTCCAGAACTACTTCTCTTGAAAGGTAGTGATTTCGGTTTGGCATCAAGAGAAAACTGTCAGAGTTGAAAGGGAAAGCTATGCTGTGGCCACATTTGTGCTAGGAAGGTCAACTTGAGCATTGCTGCAACGTCTGCTTTTGGGAGGCCCCCAACTTAGCTGCATCTCCTTCAGCTTTCTGACTCTGGGCCGAACCCAGAGTTCTGTGCATTGTGCTGTGCATTGTGCTGTTCTGAGTCAGCCACATTCTCCAAAGTGGAGGCTGGAAGAGGGCATTGTACATTGCAGATCATCTCCATGCTCTCCGGCTCTTCCTCATGGACTCAAGTCCACCTTCCTTACTCTTCTGACTCAGTGCTGGTACCAGATGCAAGGGATGGGTTAGAGGGGCCAGTTAACAGCTCATGACCACAAAACTCTTAAGTGTGGGATGCCACTTTCTGTAGTCTTGGTAAATCCCTAATGAGCATGTAGGATGAGTTCAGTGGCTGAAATGAAATAATAAGCAGCTGAATCAATCAATATTTTGCTCCAGGCTTTGACTCTCAGAAGAACCAAACCTAGGGGAACTCATCTTCTTCCCATCTTCTCCAAAGGATAAATGTATATTATACTTTCTCCTAAAGGGCCCCTATAATCACAGTTTCTTGAAGTAACAGCAAAACAGAGATTAAATACAAAAGATGTTGCGTTGATGGTAAGGGGTTCTGGCTTTAGAAAGGAATTGGTAACTGCACACCCTCCTCCCTGGGAGTGTGATGAGGGACTAGGTGAGCCCAGGAGGACTCAGAAGTGCATTGATCAGTAACTGCCTGATGGGGGAGGAATGTGAAGTGGAGGAATGTGAAGTGGAGGAATGACTGGCTGGCTAGCAACACTCCTATCGGGAAATCTGAGCAGATGTTAGGTCCAACTGAAAAAGTAAGCCAAGAAAATAAAAGCAGGTGCAGAGTTGAAGTATGAAATTAACACCTCTGTAGAGTCAAGGGATTGCTTAAAATGCCAGAAAAATTCAAGACCGAATTCCTTACCCTAAACACAGGTCTAATTTGATCTTCCAAGATCAGACATCCAAGTGGAACAAAGTTAGTAGTTCCTGTAAGTGAATCTTGTTTTTGAAATATTCTAATTGAGTTACCCAGAGTTCCCCTTTTCCTTGGGGACCATGAGGAATGAAGTGTCTGGTCCCCTGGGTGGAGAGCTTGGTAGGAGGTGGTGGGATATGCAGCCTCATTTCCCAAGAGAGGGAATTTGGGATCAGTTAGCCCCAAATTCTGGCTATGCTGCCTGCCAGCTGTTTGATCTGGAGCAAGTTATTCACGCTCTTATGTGACTCAGCGTCCTCCTCCATGGAGGGCTGACACAATGAGCTGTGTAAAGAGGCTTTGTAAACCAGGATTTTTTCTTTTCTATTTTGCCTTATGGTAATTATGTTAATGGAACTTTCTGTATTTCAAAAGCAAAAGTAGGGTCTTATTCATACTCATCTTCAATCGTCTTTGGAAGGCTAAGTCTAGTTTTTCAGTCCCTGTATAATTCGGACCTTTATTTGATTATGGGACTTCACTGGAATATCCAAGCCCTCCCTGAAAGAAAACACTTGAAAAGGATGATGACACACAATATTCTTTTTGGATAAAACAAAGATATAAAAATCTTTATTTCTTCTAATATAGACAAGGAAGATCTGTGAAACAGAAGATTTCATATTCAAAACAATTTTAGTGCTTTTTAAAAATTCATTTCCCTCCCCTTTATTACAATCAGTTTTGGGTCCTGGGTCATTTCCAGACTACCCCATAGCTGAGAGCAGTCACATCTCTTATAGACAGTCCAGTGCAGTTAGTCATAGAGGCTTTGAAAAACTCACTCACCCCTCCCCAGCATACATTGCTCCCCTGGGGCCTCTAAGGATGAGAACCCATGGAGGCTGGCAGTTAGAACAAGGGCCTTGTGCCACTCAGTCTTTTCTCTGAGGGTAATCTTAGTGTTTGGGCGGATGCCTGGCTTTAGCCCAGAGCCTCGTCCAAGAACATTATGATCTCAATCCCTGCTGGCTTCACGCTGGGACCTGAATGCCCCAAGGAGCCTCCCTGGCTGCAGTGGGGGAGGGTGCCTAGTACAGACATCTTCAACTTTCCTAGTTCACAGCCTTGAGGATGCAAGAGGGAGAAAGAACTGGGGCTTGGCTTCAGGCATGGTGACTTGTATCCAGGTCTCGCCCAGTGTGGGATAATCTGCTCGGAGCCTCACTTTCCTCAAATTTAAATGGGAATGACTCTGGCAGTGGGGCAGCATCAGTAATGCGATGTGAATCTTGATTGTCCAGCAAGAGTGCTCGGTCCCACCACTTGGAGGATGGGACGGCATCCTCCTCAGGACCTTGGCCTCACCTAAGGCTTTCCTTTCGGTGAGGTGACAAGAACATGGATGAGACACAAGTTCAGGAGGGAAGCTGACTGTGGAGTATGCGGCACCTTCTTATTTAGTCAATCTTTATTGAAATGTGTGCTTTGGAAATAATTTATGAAATAGGACCTTTTAAAAGTTCAATCCTCAATATTTACATCGTTTGTACAAACATATTTGGGCTGTGAGTGCTCCCCTTTTATGTTAATAATTTAATATACATTTGCTTCACAACAAGACCCTAGCTATTTCATTTATTGCCTCCAATTCAGTTTTCTGTTTGACAGTAACTAGGCTAAGGGGTTGCTAGAAAAAAAAACTCACTCAGGCCCTCCCTGGTGGTGTAGCGGGTTAAAGCACAGCACTAAGAAGCTAGAGCCACTTCCGCATGAGTTCAATTCCCACCTGCCCCGGAGGTGACCACATGGCGTGGCAGACCTCTCCTGACCCGCCCGCTGCTCCCCTCAGCAGTGTATTTCGTCGATCTGCCTCTTCTGCTCCCCGCTCTGTCTCTGGTGAATCCTCTCTCCCTCCACATCTCTGGCCTATACCCCGGTTCCATATTAGTAAACAAATAAATCTTTAAAAAAAAAAAAAAACTCACTCAAGTACAGAGGAAATAAAATGTTTTATTTATCAAAAAAGAATTAAAACAAAGCCTTGCTTTCCAATTGAAAACATGTGTATCATGATGTTGTAGAATAGTATTAAGCAACCAAATAAATGTTCAACAGTTACATGCCTGGTGATTCTTTTTATCAAAGAGGCAAAACTAGAGAGCTAAATTCTAAGAGATTCAGGACTGTCAGGGAATGTTATAAAAATGATCCGACTTCAGTGACTAAAGATTAAGGTCATCATGGCCAGAGCTGTTACAGGGTCCACAGCTCTTGCACCATTACCCCAGGATCCAAGCTGGGCAGCGAACACGAGCCTGCACCCCAGCCAAGAAGGATGAAACCTCACCAGGTAACCCTTCAGATGCAGTATCAACAGAGCGTACCGATGCTGGAGAAGGATTCCTAGAGGGAGAAAGCTCCCTCTCTAGGAAGAAAAGCATCTGGTTGAAGTACACAGCACCCAATTTGGAAAAACCAAGAGTTCTTATGAAAGGCAGCAATTAATGATCTGGATACAGAAGACTTATGAACAATCACAGATTAATAACTGTACCTTGAGTGCTCTGCAAATATATCTTTAAAATCCAATTTATATACTTGCCATCTGAAAACAAATCATGTTCTTTTGCTGTTGCTCCATGCCTTAATCATGCTGGCTTACGAGAAATTTGGGGCCAGAGTTTTATAGGTTTTCTACCTTGACACTAAAGGTGTTGATGAAAAATTAGTGATGAAAAATTAACTGAAAACTAATTTGCCATTTGAGAATATTTTTATGCATTCAATCATTTGCCCTATTAATGGGAATGTTTCCTTACAAAAGTGGGCTAAAGACCAGTATAACCCTCTAGACTCATGGTTTTATACATGCTAGGCATCCTAGTGCAATGATTCCTATTCTAAAATATATGTCATCATCAAACGAAACTGTCCCCCAAGATGACACTGTTTCTGAAATGTCCCAAACATTCACTAACCCTGCAGAAGGTAGCATGAAATAGCAATGACAAGAGCTGGAGCTGTGGTTCTTAACTGCCTAAGTCTCAAGAGAGCTGGCCATCCCCTGGGGGTCATCTGCTTACATACTGTGACCCTTGTTAAGCCATCCTATTTTACTTAGTTTACTTTACGTACATGCTAACCGGACTGCAGGAGGGAGGGGGTATGTGTGCCATGAGTCAGGAGTGCAAAAGGAAGGCTGAGCAGGGAGGTTAGTTTCAGTCAACAGACAGGGGCAGGGAACAAGAATATGACTGAAAACATGAATGTTATTTTCAGTTCTTTCATTATGTTTTAAGAAATCTACTTGTCAAGTGCAGGTAAGCAAAATGATTTTGTGCTTCTTGCCTCATGTCCATTTCTCTGATAACTTGTTTTTGTTGAGGACTCAGGTTATTCAACATGGGATTCTGGTTGGTGACTCATGGTGACTGGAGGCTCAGGCCTGCAAGCCCTTGGCCCTGATGGCTTTGTCAAAACAAAGGGTTAAAATTGCTTCTATCAATGTCTCATATAATGGCTCTGATTTTGCATAAATAATCACAGACTTGATTAAAATGAATGTATTGTGCTAGGTTAATTTTTTTTTCATTCAAATATTTATATTCTGTCTACTCTCAACAATGAATTGAGAAAAAGTAGGCACCTTGAAAGCCTGCCCAAGAATGATTATGTTTGAAATGATACTTCTGTACAACACCAAATGAGACAGTGAGTGTGGCAAGAATCTGAGTGAGCTCTTCAAGGGGCTGTTTTCTTCAAGTCTCGAATCTGTTTAATCAAGTAGTTCTTTTCATCAGTGAACTGCTCATCATCCGTTCTATCTTTTTGGAAGCTGCTCAGGAACTCAATGAGCTTGGGTTGATTTTTTAATAGAATCTCCACAATAGGTTGTGTTTTGTGAGGACTGGCGACAAATACCTGAAACAAAAACAATATAATCTCAGGATAAGAAATGCATGCCAGCCAAGACAAAATGGATTCAACAGGTGTCACTTGTATTAGTAAAATATAGAGAGCCCCAGATAACTTTTCACTGAGGAAAATCAGTAATTCCTTACCTATATCCATTTTCTATATATAATGCAGAAATATATTAAAAATACTTAATCTGGGCACTCCCTGGTGGCACAACAGGTTAAAGCACTGCACTATAAAGCTAACTGCAGCCCCTGCAGCATGAGTTCAATCTCCAGCCAGGTTGCTGACCCACATGGCATGGCAGACCTCTTCTGACCTGCCTGCTGCTCCCCTCAGCAGTATATTTTAGCCGATCTGCTGTTCTGCTCCCCGCTCTTTCTCTGGTGAATCTTCTCACCACCCTCCCCCATACTTCTGGCCCTGTACCCAAGTTCTTATATGTATAAATAATCTAAAAAAAAAAACTTTAAAGTACTACAATACATTTTTAAATTACAACAAAATATATCATTGTATATACAACATAATGCTTACTTAGCATAATAAAATACTCTTAAAATGTTTAATATTTTAATATATTAGTCTGACTCAAAAGTTAAAGACAAGGATAAAAAGTTCTCCTCTTGGCCCTCCCTGGTGGCG